CCATGTGTTTAGTGCCACCAACAAAGAGCGAACGCATACGTCCACCCCAGCATTGACATCCCACAGGCTGACTCCACCGAAAAGGTGGCTTGTGGAATTTTAAGTGCTCATTGTAGTACATTTTTGCTTTGTAGATCCAAAGGCACAGACTTATACAAGCAAGTTCATGAAATCATGATTAGTTACAAACATTAAATGAAGTTAAAATAAATTATTATTTTCTATTTGAAAAAAAAATCCCATAGGGATTTGGGGTGGAGCTTTGACAAGCAGCTGCTGAGCTTCAGACGGGAGAGGAAAGAAGAAAGAAGAGCAGCAACAAGCTGGCAACAGGTAGCAGGTACCATCTAACAACTCTGTCTAGAACTTTTCTTATTAGATACAGTTTCAGCATAAATATACTAGTCAAAATCAATATGGTATTGATGTAGAGGTTAGAATGAATTATCTGAGAGTGTTGGGACAATGTGCTATCTATATGGAAAGAGATAAAATCATAAGTAGAGAGCAGTTACAGGGTACAGAGGAATTTAAACTGTATGGTTTATGCTGGGCATGGTGGTGCATACCCATAATCCCAGCACTCGTGAGGCTGAGGCAGGAGGATCGAGATGAGTCTGAGGCCAGCATGAGCTCTATAATGAGTTCAAGGCCACCCTGAACCTTGACTCAGAAACTAAATCAAAGCCAAAACTATAAAATGTTTTTACAAGTTATAGGAAAACACATCATACTCCAAGGAAAAGGAAGAATTGCTTTGACAAGGTGCAAAAGACAAAATAATCAAAGAAAGATGGATAGGGGTTGAGATTATGGTGAAAAATGTCACCTGAAAGCACTGATAACTAATTGAAACAATAAGCCAAGCACTAGACTAAAATATTTGCTATATATTGAAAGGAAAATATGTGAATATATAAGTAGTTAATATTATGCATCAATTTATAAATAATTTCCAGTTAATTTACAACAAAAAGCAAAGTTCACAATAGATAAACAGGCAGAAAGTAGTCCCTGCTATTTACATTGAAGAAATATAAATGGCCCGTGAAGATGTGAAAACGCTCCCAAACTCACTAGTCAAATCAACATCTCACTGCCTACCCAGTAATGCTTAAGCACAATGCCTTTTACCAGAGATGTAGGGCAGGAGGCACTCCGGTTTACTGTGCAGTGTATAGCTCATTTCAGAGATCAACGTGACAGTTCCTAACAGATTTAAAGCATACTTTCTCTGGGAACCGCCTAGGAATTCAAACTCCATTGTCGCCATGGTACGTATACAACGTTATGCACTGCAACTTTGTAAAATACAAATATGGAGACAAACTTAGTTTGTACAGGGGGGTTGACAAAATAAACAGCTTTATCTATATAAAGTAATGTGATACTATGTAGCTATTACCATAAATAAATCACATCTGTTTGTATCAACATAAACAAAAATCAAAGCCATAATATTGAGTGATTAAAAAACAAAGGGTTCTGGGCTGGGGAGATAGCTCAGCGGTCTAAGCACCTGCTTGGCAAGCACAAGGACCCAAGTTTGATCCATGGTACTGCATGCCATGCTGGCCCTAGGAATTCTGGGCGTGATG